TCGCTGATATTGAGCACTTTAACCCATAAAGATAGCATAACTGAAAACATTTTATCACACTGTGCAGATTTTTTTTTTTTTTTTTTTTTTAATTTTATTTAAAATAGAAAAACATTTTTATCCTTCATGCTGTCTGGGGGGGGGGGAAGCAAGATTGGCATGAAGCCAAAATGCCATCACCCAACTTTAATGAATAGTGGTTTTAAAAATAACTGCTGAGAGAGTCTTTTGAAAACAGAAAAAAGACTGGAATTTCATAAGCTTTTTGGAAATTTCCAGAATTTCTTGGAATTTTTCAGTTTCAGTCAAATACATAGTTAAGCACAATTTTCTCTAAATATACTTTCTAAATTAATCATGTTCTAATTAACAAAAATAAATTATGGTACCAACCCTAAGTCAAATCTTGTCTTGCACCATTTAATAAATTGATTCTGATCAATCTAGATTACTAGGGCTGACAAAGATGCACTAAACACTAGTTGTACCAGCCTTATAGCCTATTTTTAAAGTTTACTGAACTTAGATTACAAGAGAAAGTTCTAGCTGAAGATTTACATTGAATTCAATCCTTCACAGAATAAGTTACCTTAAATCTGTACTAATAGTTACCTCCCTTGAAAGAGTTGAGCACAAGCACAAAGTGGAAAACGTTCAGTTGCAAAATTACATGAATTCAATATAGTTGTTGACTTTAGTTTTCTCAATATATTGAAGCATCAAATTGACAGTTACTATGCAGTGTTTATGTTCAGTAACACTATCAGATATATAGATATATATAGATATATATATCATTCAAACTTAAAATGGTGACCACAGCTATTACTAACTTGATCCAAGTAAATAAATCTATGAATAGAGATGAAAGAAAGCAACAATGCTTCATAAGTTTTATTTTTAGCATTTTTAAATGGTTGGGTTGAACCGTTGAAATAACATTTTGATGCGAAATCAAAGATATGTAAGAAAGCGATATTTTTACTTATCTATCCCTTTCACCAAGACTAAGAATTTTCTTAGTACCGAACAGGAGTTTAATTTTTTTTTTTTAGTTATCTTGTCATTGGTAAGTGTACTTAACTATTTCAATAAATATAGAATATAGAAGATATGTCAGACAGAAGAGATAGGCGCCACGTTGTGGTCATAGATAATTGCTTTGCAGATAGTTTTACTTGTGAGTCTAGTTCTCACCGGGTGCCAGGTTTGGAGCTTTTAAACTGAAGCCTAGTAAACTAAACAAGATGTCGGAAACAAGATAGACATGGCTGTCCATATACGCAAGTTATTCACACGTCTCCCGATAGTAGGGTATTCTTTTAAGACCCAACGACAGAAAGCAGACAAATAAAAAAGGGTGAAGGGGGATTATAAGGCACAAATGATGTAAGCCAATCTCTTCCCTCCTTTCGTCTGGAACGGAAAATGGGAGCGAGTCGAGCACTTAATATTTCCCTCCAATTTTCTAAGTGACAATAAAAGCGGTATTTAGTTAGTAGTAATCGTAAGCGAAAAGAGGGTACGTGGTATTTTTTGGTAATGAGATACTTTAAGTAATAGCTAGGTTTTTAAACACGTGTTTACTGTGCTTATAAACAATACACATGCTACTTCCCACTACAAAAAGAAGAAATATATAAGCAGACAGAAGTTAAAAATCGAATTAGCAAGCACAATGCCATACACGCAGTTACCATGGAAACAAAGAAGGTCAGATTCGCGCTTTTTTCTCCAGAATTTAAAAATTGGGGCATATTTCAATTGTGCAATAAGGCCGAATCACAAGTAGATATTTTTAATTGTTTTGTCGCTAAATAATAATTATTATAGAAAGTGAATGTTGAAAAATTAGTAGAAACTTATATTTTGAAAATAGACATCGTTTAAACTTCAAAGATGTTACGAAATCTTGTTGAAACCTAATTTTATTTTCCGTGATAGAGTCCACATTGAAAAGATATTTAAAAAACAAATCAACCAAGTACAAGACTGATCTCTGGAAGTAAACGAAACCCCTACTAAAAATGTGAGTGATCGGAATGTAACTAAACATTAATTTTTGTTTAAGCTACTTAACTAGAGAGGGAAAAAAACCTTTAATACAATCTTTTTAGTGCATAAAATTCCAGGTATATTGTTTTAGTTAGGAACATAATTGCGTAAGGAAAAAATAAAAATAAGGAGTGACTTTAGGGGGGGGAGGTCTGGAAGTCAAAAGAAAGATGTCACTTATTGTTATGAATAAAGTAAAAGCCTCTTTGAAGAGATTTAACAAATGTAACAAAGTAATTCATGAAGAAAATTCACGTCGTAAAGAGAAAAAACTTTGAAAAGTTTGAACAATGGAAATTTAAGCTTTTCGTTGAAAAGAAACATGCAGACGTTTGTTTTGTATTTAGATTTTTTGAAATAAGAAACGGTCACGTACTTTTAACTTTTTTTGTTGACAATTATAAGAGAACTTCGTACTTTACAAAAAGAATGAGATAAATGACAAAAATGAGCAAGTCAATGTTAATAGAAAAAACAAAAAAAAACTGATTAAATTTTTTTAAAAATAATTTAATTAAATTTCTATGTTAGCCTCAATTCACAAGGATTGACAAAAAAAGTTTTAAGAAAAAGACGAGCTGATATTATCAATAATGTGTAAGATAACATAACGGAAATAAGGGGAAAAAAGTTTAAAAATTTATTCCCTCTTTTCAGCATGTGTAAAAGAAAAATAATCAGCCAGGAATTGATTTTGTTTTACAATAAGTGAGTAACTTGCTTAAAGGAATGAATATGGAGAAAAATTAAATCCGGACACAAACGATTAGAAACAACAAAAAAGACAAAAGGGAGCGGTTGAGGTTTCCCACCAGCAATAAAGAAGGATTCCATTTTTGGTTTGGAAAGAAAGAAAAGAGCCTGTCCTCTCAAAGTTCTGATTCATTTTTTTTAAGTTACCCAGATGTTTTAAATAAAAGGCTGGAATTGTTTTGTTTTCAGAACCATATGCCGTATGTTGCAGCTTGGAATTAAGAGAAAAGATATTTCAATTTGGTAATAAAATGAAACAAAAGTTTCAAACAAAACGAAAAAAAAAAAAAAAAAATTTTTTTTCTTCATTTTATAAGTAGAGAGCATTTTATTTGTGTTAATTAAAATAATTTAAGTTTCGTAGATTAGTACATGAATTTTTAACTAAACGAATTTTAAAACCTTCAGTTATAAGAAAAAGAAAAGATCAAGCCACAAAAGAACTTGGGGGGGGGCTTTTTTCTTGAGAGAGAAAACAGCTTTCTGCCTACTCAGTTTCTTTTTTTTGTAAGTGATTTTACAAAACATGTGAAAAAGAAAAAAAAAAAAAAAAAAAACATGTAGTGAACTTTATTCTAAAATCTAAATTATACAACTAGATTTTTTTTATCTACGTTTTAGCGCGCGCGAAAAATGCAAGTATTACAAAAATTACAAATCTAAAAACACAAATATACTTCATTTTAGACTAGTTTTACAAAATAAGGCTGAATTTATTCATAGTTCAAGAATGAAAAAAAAACAAAAAAAACATCATTCTTAATTGCTACGTTAGGTAAATTAAAAAAAAGAAAAAAAAAAGCGTATACACTTCTCTACAATAATTTAAAAGTAACACTATTCAGGCAAAGTAGACAGGTAAGTAAGCACTAAAAAAGACAAACAGCAGGAGAGGAGAAGGTGTTGTAAAGTTGTCTAACTGGCATGAGAGGTCGGTAAGTAAGCAAGGTGGGGACCGTGGGCATTTCTGCTGGAAGGAACGGCAGGTAATCTATTTCACCAAGTCATCATATCCTCCTAGTGCGTGCGTGTTAATGTTGGGTTTGGGGGGGGTTAAAAAAAAAATCTTGCTGTCTGTCAATGTCACTTAAATGAAATAACAAATAAGGTTTGTGCGAAGTCTAGCTGAGGGAACGTAAGACAAGGGTTTATAATTTTACTTATAGTTTATTGCTAAAGATTTTTTTTTTTTTAGATGGAGGCCTCCAGATAGATCAAAAAAAAAAAAAAAAAAAAAAGGTCATTTTTTTTTTTGCTTGAAAAAAAAGTTATCTTATCTACTTATCAGTTGAAAATTCTTGTCACGTTCTATGTTACAAGTCTCTAACGGGGGGGGGGGGAAGAGGCGACCAGTGAATAATAATAATAGCATTAAATTTCATGGCATCAAATTAATTAAATTAATTTTTTTTAAAATTTTGAATTAAAAAGTTCCCCCCGCCAAGTGAAAAGAATCTGCGGCATTTTCAAATTTCAGCTTCTTTAAATTCTGGCTGCTACATTAAGAAGCCTATGTTTTTAAAACAAAAATAAAGGCTAATAATGTTTAGTTTACTGTTTATTTTACGGGGATAAGCGACAAAAAGACAATGTCAAGTAACAGAAATTTTTTTTTAAGACTATTTAGTTCAGGTCTACACTAAGACTATAGTCACTATATGAATATTTGTAAGTCACTTAAGTAGCTGTGAATTCAGGACTAGATTGTGATATTTTTCTTAAAAAATCTACTCGAAAAGTTAAAAAAAAAAAAAAAAATCTAAAAAGTTAGAAATTAGGAAATATCAAGGAGTTAGAGACTCAACGTGAGAAATTAGTTTTAAAAACATTTAGTGACCTAAAATTTCCAGTTAAAAAGGAAAAAAAGATTGGTGTTTAACTTTTAAAAACATTGTCAACAAAGTAGAAAAAATATTTGTAATTTTGGATAATGCGACTGACGTCAACTGAATTTAATTTATCGGACAGAAACTGACCTTACCTACAGCAGTGAAAATAAATCTTTTTTTTTCTAAATCCAAGGATGTGCAAATATTTACAGTTTCAACAAAGGTAAATAAACTACGATGTTTTTACTATTAAAGTGTTTTGAGAAGAAAAAAAAAAAAAAAAAAAGGCGAAGTGACAGATCGAAAAGAAAAAAACATTGTGCAGGTAACTCCCTTGAAGTTTGGGAGCAAGAGAAAACCTACCTTGACCCATAGTTCAAATTCAGGAATCATTCTCGATCAGGGTTTCTCTTTGTTAAGGAGTACAGTTGGTAAATTGATGTATCCAAGACAAAAAAAAATACGCCAGCCAGATGTGAGAAATTGACGTTGTTTCTTTGCGTCGGAAGTATCTAGTGTGGCAATATTATTGATATGAGAAGAGAAAGTAACGAAGCAACTGTGGTAGTCCGCCTGTCTGCTTAAAAGCGTGTGTGCGTGCCTACGCCAATCGGTCCGTCCCACTGCAATGACTGGTTAGCGTACACTGCGCATGCGTCACTCAGCTTACCCAAATAACTCCGTCCGAGAACTGCTTTGCTTATCATTTAACATTGTAATATACAAGTACACGAATAAATTTAGCTATTGATGTTGATGATTCGCAGAACTTAAATTAATCCTATTTTTACAACATGCCTAATTAAAGAAGCAATATTATTGTCAGATAACAGTTGATTTTAATCAGTGGGACAATATTTTACTAGATGACATTTTTCGTTTTAATTTTAAGTTTTCCTAACATTTTGATGTCTATCTAAAAATTGGAAAATGTGTGTGTGTGTTTTTTTTTTTAAATCTCATCGACTCAGATCTATATGGGAATAGTTTGTTGGGCCCAGGGAAAGATTCTAGCATATCTGGAGGCCTCCATCTTTTTATTTATAGATTTATTTTTTAAGTTATTACCGTTTGTAAACGTGCGGTGTAAGACTATACGGGGGGGTGCTGAACATTTCTCGGTCAGCTGAGAAACCCTTTAAAAAATTCTGAAGTTTGTAGCGTTGCTAACAACCTAAAAGAAAAATGCGAGACGGGGAGAAGGAATTTTCAATCAGAGGTGGCCGACTTTGAGCAGGTTCCCAACCATGGGTCGGTAGACCTCTTTAGGGACGGATTCCCAACATTTAGTGATAGGAATTCAGGTGACTATTCAAAAATGTTATACGATCAGTGCAAAAATTAGTTCAATTAGATTATCAGATAATTCCTGTCTGAATTTCTCGAATGAGGAGTTACCATTATTATTACACTATTTACATTCAGACTATGGTTTTCATCTTTGCTGTTGCTATCCAGCCTTCGTTAGGTGTATATCGATCTGGGTAACCTACAAGGAATTTCGAACCCTTTATTTAATCTACGGGATAGATTGTTCATGTTTCACGGTCAATGTCTAGGGATATATCGTCTAGTTCTTATTTTTGGTACTGATCAGTTATTGCTTGACCTGTTTTCACTGAGTTCAAATTTACACTACCCGGCCCAGGAATTGAATTCGCAATTACTGTCACCAAAATCACAAACCACTGCTTTAATCCACTAGGCTACGGTTGTCCAAACTTTTTTCCTAATGGGCCAAATTAGAAATTTAGGTACATACACCGGGCCACAAAAGTACTTTATTTAAAAAGTTGAAAACGTTGTGAATATAAAATTTTAATACCAAATATATATATAGTTACAAAAATACTGTATTATTGACAGTAAAAAAAAAGACACATGGCACAGTGGACTCTTCTCTTGTGCTATCTGCTTTAATATCTGTCTATATTTCTGAGATGAAAAACAGTACTATTTAAGTTATTCAAATATTGTCCTCATCTTTGTCGCCATATTTATTACGTTTCAGCCGTTGTACGCCCTGGCCTTCTTCAGGTGGTTGGGAGGTCAAACTGAACCTTTGAGGACACAGTTGAACAATGGATAAAGGCGTTTGTTAGATCCAGAAATATAGAAAGATATTCAATACCCATAGCACAAGAGAAGAGTCCACTGTGCCAGGTGTCTTTTTTTTAACATGGCATGTGGAACTAAAACATTTTTGTAACTATAAATATTTTCGACATTCCAACCACCTGAAGATTCACAATGTTTTCAACTTTTAAATAAAGTACTTTTTTGCGACAAAGATGGGGACAATAGTCTGAATAATGTAAATAGTGTACAAATTTCTAATTTGGCCCATATAGACAGATAAGATATAAGTCCACTGTGCCATGTGTCTTTTTTTTTATAAGGAGCTATATATGGAAAAATATTCACAATGTTTTCAATTTTTAAATCAGTCCCTGTATGTACCTAAATAATTTGGTAAAATAAAGGACGGAGAAAAACATCAGCTCCTGGAGATTAGAAATCTGACATTAACGCATATATCTGAAAGAATTAACGCAAATGATGATGAAGTAAGGCTTAGATAAGAATAGAAATAAATACGATATGGGAAAAGTCGTTGTGAGACAATGAAATTGGGCCTGACTAACCATGTATGAAAGGAAACGGGTGGTCATCAGACCCAGTGGAATAAAGTGTAAATACCGGGCAGGGAGAATAAAACGTCTGAAATAATTAGCACATATGCTATTGTATGGGGACCTCCTTAGTAGGCCTAGCATAGAAATAAATACGATATGGGAAAAGTCGTAGTAAGAAGTGAGACAATGAAATTGGGCCTGCAACCATGTATGAAAGGAAACGGTGGTCATCAGACCCAGTGGAATAAAGTGTAAATACCGGGCAGGAGAATAAAACGTCTGAAATAATTAGCACATATTTTGTATGGGGACCTCCTTAGTAGGCCTAGCATAAAATAAATACGATATGGGAAAAGTCGTAAAGAAGTGAGACAATGAAATTTGGCCTGACTAACCATGTATGAAAAAACGGGTGGTCATCAGACCCAGTGGAATAAATTCAAATATGTTTAAAACGTCTGAAATAATTAGCACATATGCTATTGTATGGGGACCTCCTTAGTAGGCCTAGCATAGAAATAAATACGATATGGGAAAAGTCGTAGTAAGAAGTGAGACAATGAAATTGGGCCTGACTAATCATGTATGAAAGGAAACGGGTGGTCATCAGACCCAGTGGAATAAAGTGTAAATACCGGGCAGGGAGAATAAAACGTCTGAAATAATTAGCACATATGCTATTGTATGGGGACCTCCTTAGTAGGCCTAGCATAGAAATAAATACGATATGGGAAAAGTCGTAGTAAGAAGTGAGACAATGAAATTGGGCCTGCCTAACCATGTATGAAATTAAACGGGTGGTCATCAGACCCAGTGGAATAAAGTGTAAATACCGGGCAGGAGAATAAAACGTCTGAAATAATTAGCACATATGATTGTATGGGGACCTCCTTAGTAGGCCTAGCATAGAAATAAATACGATATGGGAAAAGTCGTAGTAAGAAGTGAGACAATGAAATTGGGCCTGACTAACCATGTATGAAAGGAAACGGGTGGTCATCAGACCCAGTGGAATAAAGTGTAAATACCGGGCAGGGAGAATAAAACGTCTGAAATAATTAGCACATATGCTATTGTATGGGGACCTCCTTAGTAGGCCTAGCATAGAAATAAATACGATATGGGAGCCGCTAATAAAGAAAGACAAATAACAGCAAGTCTTCAACAGCACCACCAGCAGCAGCTGCGACAAATGAGAACAGCTTCAGTTGGGTGCAGTCAAGCATGACAAACAGCAGTAACACTCATCAACATTCAGCTTTAGGTTTATGGCTCCAAGTTCTCCACAGAGAATTATCCTGCGGATTAAAACGTTGGTTCTTGAATTTGGTGACAGTAATTGTGAGTTCAATTCCTGGGCCGGACTGTGGGAAAAGGGTGAGCAATAAATGAGCAGTACTAAAAAATAAGAACTAGACGCAATATCCCTGGGTGTGGTTAGTGGTACGAGAACAGTCTATCCCCAGAGATCAAATAAAAAGTTCTGTTCGGAATGCCGTGCAGGCTACCCGGATCAATATTACCCGATGAAGGACAGAGGACACAACGGCCGAAACATTGTGATAATGTAAATAGAATTTCAGAGTGAAACAGAAGTGTGTTCATGCATATTAAGCCTTCTTCTTCTATGTGACGGACTCCTTTAAGACGTGGACGATCATGGCTCTCCACAACTTCCTGTATTTGTAGCTCTTAGCAAGGTTTGTCTTTTTGTTCACTCTCCTAATCCCTGTTCTGCTAACCATTTATAAAAGCTTGTTAGGTAAGATTTTCCTTGCTTTCCTCTCTCTCGCTTGCCTTCAACGTGTCCCGTGAGTGTTAAATTTTTCAAGCCCTCTTTCCTCATTATATGGTTTATTAAGCACAGTTTAAAAAAAAGAAGCAAAATTTACGCGTAAAATATAAACAAATTGCTTCTCAAAATGTGGGATAAAAACGTGTCCCATATTAACAGATACATAACTCCTCTCAGCATCAAAGTGCGAGATTAAAGCTTTCTGGTCATTTGCTTAGAATTTGGGGAATGGGTCAGCCCAAGAACTTTTTAGCCTCCTCTTGTAATTTTTCTTTTATTATTAATGTCAAAATGAGGAATATATTTGTATTCTTTGAAAAAGCAATTTCAAAGAATATATTTCCAAATATATTTTCGATTATTCCTCGTATTTCTTTGTCTCAATGAAACCTAACATGTAGCCTTTGTAGCCAGGGGCCGTTTGGAACCTGAATCGCCCCCGTGAACACCTAAAATTGGCGGACTAATGTAGGTTACTATTCTTTTAAGTGTAGCGAGTTTTAGGGTTCAGGGTGTTTTAAGTCGCAAAGATAAATGGTATTGAGACTCATCAGTTCACTCGGATTTTGTCCAGTGTCCTCGCAGTCTAATGCTTTAAACCAGGGGTCGGCAGCCTTTTGCTGACTCTGTGCCGACTTAAGGTTTTAAAATTATTCAGTGTGCCAACAGTGCACGTATTTTTATACAAGTCAAGGTCAATATACCTGTTTTACAATATATTTTATATAGTAATATATACAAGATGTAAACCATATTAATAAAAATAAACTGTTTCTAAAAGTTTTTTTTTACAGTTTTTATTATTAATGGGAGTCCAACGAGTGAGCAGCTTTGAAACAGCTAAATATCTTTGTGTTGTAGCAGTTATTGCTTCGGACTTTATGATGTCATTTGAGGCTGCGTGTCATTAGAAATTGCTTGGCGTGCCACGTGTGGCACGCGTGACGTAGGTTGTCGACCTC